CCTGGCTCACTTCTTCTTCTTCTTTTTTTGAAATGAAGTTTCGCTCTTGTTGCCCAGGCTGAAGTGCAATGGCACGATTGATCTCGGCTCACAGCAACCACCGCCTCCTGGTGATTGCAGGTGTGAGCCACCACGCCTGGCACCGGCTTACTTTTTCTTGTTTTTATTATTATTATTTTTAGTGGAGATAGGGTTTCACCCAGTTATCCAGGATGGTCTCGATCTCCTGACCTCATGATCCGCCCACCTCAGCCTCCTAAAGTGCTGGGATTACAGGCATGAGCCACTGCACCTGGCCTGGCTTACCTCTTCTTATAAGGACCCCAGTCATTGGACTAGAGCTCACCCTAATCCAGTATGACTCAATCTTAACTTGATTACATCTGCAAATACCCTTTTTCCAAATAAGGTCACAGATGCTAAGGGTTAGGATTTGAACACATCTTTCTGGGGGACACAATTCTACCATTATAGGCAATAAACAGGATAAGAAAACCATAGAACCCAGCAGGTGGTAGGTGACACAAGCTAAGAGGTCTTGTCATGTTGCCCAGGCTGGTCTCAAACTTCTGGCTTCAAGGGATCCTCCCACTTTACCTCCCAAAGTGGGGATGAAAGTGTCTGGGGCATTGCAGTTTTAGACAGGAAGACCAGGGAAGGCCTCACTGAGAAGGTGACATTTGAGCCAAGACTTAAAAAGGTACGAAAGTGAGCTATGTGGAAGTCTGGGGGAGGAGTGAACTAGGCAGAGGCATAGCTGGGGCCAAGGGCCTGAGGTGTGACTACGCCTAAGGATTTGATAAACTTCAAAGAGGCTGTGTGCTACAGGAGAGTGAAGGGCAGGCAGTGGCAGGAAATGAGGGCAGACAGGTAGCAGTGGGGAGGACGCAGGGGTCCAGCTTATGTAGGTCTTGGTTGGACACAGTGAGTTTCAAATGGCAGCCTCCTGTCTCATGGGGTAGCCCCAAAGCCACAGGAGTCTGGTGATTTCCTTCTTCCCCAACAGACATCTATGCCATCGGGGTGGGCAAGCTGGATGTGGACTGGAGAGAACTGAATGAGCTGGGGTCCAAGAAGGATGGCGAGAGGCATGCTTTCATTCTGCAGGACACAAAGGCTCTGCACCAGGTCTTTGAACATATGCTGGGTGAGTGAGCGTTGCCCTCCCTGGTGTAGGGAGGATGGTGAGGAGCCCGTCAGAAGCCCATGTTGGGAAGCTAGACACAGTGCCCTTCATTTGCTTCCTTCCCCATCTGATCCTCACACCCACAGATGTCTCCAAGCTCACAGACACCATCTGCGGGGTGGGGAACATGTCAGCAAACGCCTCTGACCAAGAGAGGACACCCTGGCATGTCACTATTAAGGTACCAGGAAGGAGGGGCGGGGCTTGGATTCCAGAGGTGAAAGTGGCCATGGGCCAGAGATACTGCAATCCCTGAAGATCACCTGTTCCCCCCGTAGCCCAAGAGCCAAGAGACCTGCCGGGGAGCCCTCATCTCCGACCAATGGGTCCTGACAGCGGCTCACTGCTTCCGCGATGGCAACGACCACTCCCTATGGAGGGTCAATGTGGGTAAGGCAGGGGATGCACCAGGCTCCCGATCCTGAAGCCACAGATCCCACCACCTGACCCAGCCTCTTGCCCCTGCAGTGCCCTGGTCTAGCCTAATCTGGCATATCATTTCCAGGAGACCCCAAATCCCAGTGGGGCAAAGAATTCCTTATTGAGAAGGCAGTGATTTCCCCAGGATTTGATGTCTTTGCCAAAAAGAACCAGGGAATCCTGGAGTTCTATGGTGATGACATCGCCCTGCTGAAGCTGGCCCAGAAAGTAAAGATGTCCACCCATGCCAGGTGCCTGGAGTCTGGGATGGGAGGGTGCCCTCCAGGGGAGAGTGCTCTGGAGAGCCCTGGAAGAGATACTGGGGACAGGCTGGTGTGACTCTTGCTCTTCTCCCCAGGCCCATCTGCCTTCCCTGCACCATGGAGGCCAATCTGGCTCTGCGGAGACCTCAAGGCAGCACCTGTAGGGACCATGGTGAGTGCTGGGACTTATGGTGCTTGAGAGCTGGGGCCGGGGTTTAGGGGTGATAACAAGGACTAGGCTGCAGTCCCCAAGCCAGGAATCTGGATTCTGGGTAAAAGGACCAGCACCAATATCCTCTTCTCTTGACTATAGAGCATGAACTGCTGAACAAACAGAGTGTTCCTGCTCATTTTGTCGCCTTGAATGGGAGCAAACTGAACATTAACCTTAAGATGGGAGTGGAGGTGAGGGTCTCAGGTTGGGGATGCTGGGATCCCCCCGTGACAGCTCGCAGAATCTCTCTCTTCCTTCTCCAGCTCTGGCTGCTTTCTCTCTCTGATGTGGGTCACCCCTCCTCCCAAGTCTCACAAACCTGCTAGTTGTCCCTGAGTCTGCTTATTCTTTTGATGTTGTTGAGATGGAATCTTGCTCTGTCTCCCACACTGGAGTGCAGTGGCACGATCTTGGCTCACTGCGACTTCTGCCTCCCAGATTCAAGTGATTCTCCTACCTCGGCCTCCCAAGTAGCTGGGATTATAGGTGCTTGCCACCACATGCAGCTAATTTTTGTATTTTTAGTAGAGACAGGATTCCGCCATGTTGGCCAGGATGGTCTTGAACTCCTGACCTCAAGTGATTCGCCCACCTCAGCCTCCCAAAGTGCTGGGATTACAGGCGTGAGCCATTGCACCCAGTCAAGTCTGCTTATTCTTCCCTTCTCTCTGGTTCCACCCCTACGGCAGTGGACAAGCTGTGCCGAGGTCGTCTCCCAAGAAAAAACCATGTTCCCCAACTTGACAGATGTCAGGGAGGTGGTGACAGACCAGTTTCTATGCAGTGGGACCCAGGAGGATGAGAGTCCCTGCAAGGGTGAGTCCCTCACCATGCCTGGATTCCCAAAGGGGAAGGCCACCTGTGTCTCTGTGGCCAGCGTGCATGCCAGAACACCAGTCCACTGCCCTGTATGACACTGTCTCCTGTCACCTTTTGCTGGCAGGAGAATCTGGGGGAGCAGTTTTCCTTGAGCGGAGATTCAGGTTTTTTCAGGTGAGAAGGTGGAAGCTTGCAGGACCCAGGGGTTACAGGATGTCAGCCTTGTTGGGGGGATGACGGAGGCCTTTGAGGGATCTAGGGAGGTTGGGGCTTACAGCTGGAGCTGTGGCAGCCTCCCAGCCAGTTCTCTCCTTTTCTCCAGGTGGGTCTGGTGAGCTGGGGTCTTTACAACCCCTGCCTTGGCTCTGCTGACAAAAACTCCCGCAAAAGGGCCCCTCGTAGCAAGGTCCCACCGCCACGAGACTTTCACATCAATCTCTTCCGCATGCAGCCCTGGCTGAGGCAGCACCTGGGGGATGTCCTGAATTTTTTACCCCTTTAGTCATGGCCACTGAGCCCTCTGCTGTCCTGTTAGAATCTGCCCCCCCTCCATCTTCTACCTCTGAATGCCCACCCTTAGACCCTGTGACCCATGCCGTCTCCTAGTTGAGTAAATCCGGGTCTCTAGGATGCCAGGGGCAGCGCACACAAGCTGGGAAATCCTCAGGGCTCCTACCAGCGGGGTGCCTCGCTGCCCCACCTCCCCGCTCCTTGGCCTGTCCCCAAATTCCTCCCCTGGTTGACTTGACTCATGCTCATTTCACTTTCATATGGAATTTCCCAGTTATGAAATTAATAAAAATCAGTGGTTTCCACATCTGTCTGTGCCTCTATCTGGAGGCCAGGTAGGGCTGGCCTGGGGGGAAGGGGAAGCCAGAATGACTCCAAGAGCCACAGGAAGGCAGGTCAGAGACCCCACTGGACAAACAGTGGCTGGACTCTGCACCATAACACACAAGCAACAGGGGAGTGAGCTGGATCCTTATTTCTGGTCCCTAAGTGGGTGGTCTGGGCTTGTTGGGGAGGAGCTGAGGCCAGAGAGGAGGTACTGAAGGGGAGAGTCCTGGACCTTGGGCAGCAAAGGGTGGGACTTCTGCAGTTTCTGTTTCCTTGACTGGCAGCTCAGCGGGGCCCTCCCGCTTGGATGTTCCGGGAAAGTGATGTGGGTAGGACAGGCGGGGCAAGCTGCAGGTGCCAGAACACAGATTGCATAAAAGGCCGGGAGCTGGTGGGGGGCAGGGGAAGGGAATGTGACCAGGTCTAGGTCTGGAGTTTCAGCTTGGACACTGAGCCAAGCAGACAAGCAAAACAAGCCAGGACACGCCATCCTGCCCCAGGCCCAGCTTCTCTCCTGCCTTCTAACGCCATGGGGAGCAATCTCAGCCCCCAGCTCTGCCTGATGCCCTTCATCTTGGGCCTCTTGTCTGGAGGTAAGTGAGGGTAACCTTCCCTTCCTGCTGTCCCCAGCATCCCTCCTTGGCCTTTTGGGGCCAGGCTTCATCAGCCTTTCTCTTCAGGTGTGACCACCACTCCATTGTCTTCGGCCCAGCCTCAAGGATCCTGCTCTCTGGAGGGGGTAGAGATCAAAGGTGGCTCCTTCCGACTTCTCCAAGAGGGCCAGGCACTGGAGTACGTGTGTCCTTCTGGCTTCTACCCGTACCCTGTGCAGACACGTACCTGCAGATCCACGGGGTCCTGGAGCACCCTGCAGACTCAAGATCAAAAGACTGTCAAGAAGGCAGAGTGCAGAGGTTTGAGGGCAATGAGTGTGGGCAGTGGCCTAAGGGAGAAACAGGGCAGGTGGCAGCAAGGTCAGGACTAGGATGAGACTAGGCAGGGTGACAAGGTGGGCTGATCAGGAGGAGTAGGAGCAGTTTTAGGGTTGTAGAGGGAAAGGAAGGAAAAAAAAGGGGAGTTAACCTTTAGTAAGCATTTACCCTGGGCTTCCACGCAGCCCTGGAAGTCAAGAGAACACTCAGCAATGGGGAGGGAGGAGCAGCGGAAACCCCTATGGGTTGAAGAGTAGGTAAGATGCAGCTTCTGCGGGACTGGGAATGCTCTGTTTCTCAGTGACCTGGTCTCTGAGACCAGGAGGGAAACACCTAAGGCAGCCTTTCCCTCTTGATGACTTCTACTTCTCCCCACTTCTCAAAGCAATCCGCTGTCCACGACCACAGGACTTCGAGAACGGGGAATACCGGCCCCGGTCTCCCTACTACAATGTGAGTGATGAGATCTCTTTCCACTGCTATGACGGTTTCACTCTCCGGGGCTCTGCCAATCGCACCTGCCAAGTGAATGGCCGGTGGAGTGGGCAGACAGCGATCTGTGACAACGGAGGTGAGAAGCATCCTCTCCCCCAACATTGCTGTCTCCCTGACAGCGCCTAGCCTGAGGAGTGGGCATTTGCCCCCGGACACTGTAACTCTTGCTCTCTACCTTGCCCGCGGGGCCTCAACCTTCAGCGCTTACCTCCATGTCTCATGCCTCTGCAGCGGGGTACTGCTCCAACCCAGGCATCCCCATTGGCACAAGGAAGGTGGGCAGCCGGTACCGCCTTGAAGACAGCGTCACCTACCACTGCAGTCGGGGGCTTACCCTGCGTGGCTCCCAGCGGCGAACGTGTCAGGAAGGTGGCTCTTGGAGCGGGACGGAGCCTTCCTGCCAAGGTGACCTTTGACCTGTACCCCCAGGTCAGATCCTGATCTTGCATCCTACTGTCTTCTCTCCCCACCTCAACCCTGCTCTTTCCTCACTTCTTTTAAACCTCCCTCTAGAACTGTCTCACTTCTGAGCCTTTTCTACCCTGGAAACCCACAATCCCCCATCTCTTTGGTCACTGTGTCCCTGACACTCCCAGACATTTGACCTCATTTCTGACTCTCCCAGACTCCTTCATGTACGACACCCCTCAAGAGGTGGCCGAAGCTTTCCTGTCTTCCCTGACGGAGACCATAGAAGGAGTCGATGCCGAGGATGGGCACAGCCCAGGTTTGAAGGCAGAGAGGGGAGGCAGGGCAGGGAACTGGGGGAAAATGGAGAAGGGACAAGATAATCATTCATGGTGGAGCCTGAGTCACTCTCCTGGCACACAGGGGAACAACAGAAGCGGAAGATCATCCTAGACCCTTCAGGCTCCATGAACATCTACCTGGTGCTAGATGGATCAGACAGCATTGGGGCCGGCAACTTCACAGGAGCCAAAAAGTGTCTTGTCAACTTAATTGAGAAGGTGGAGTCCTCCTATCCCTGAACTTGGGGGAATGGAATCTTGCTGATCTTCCAGGACTAGCTCCCTGATCATTCCAGCCCCTCTGAACCACAGGGCCCCAGGAAAGTCTCCAGGTCCTATTCTGTCCTCCTTCCCTTGTACTTGATTCCTCCATGAACCTCAGTGCTTGAGCCTCTTCCTAAGAGCCTCCCTGTCCCAGCAACGTTGCTGAAGTCTCCCAATCACAGTATTCTACTTTCAATGCCATGGCGCCTTGTTCTCCTCACCCACAGGTGGCAAGTTATGGTGTGAAGCCAAGATATGGTCTAGTGACATATGCCACATACCCCAGAGTTTGGGTCAAAGTGTCTGACCAAGAGAGCAGCAATGCAGACTGGGTCACGAAGAAGCTCAGTGACATCAATTATGAAGGTCAGAGGTTAGGGAATGGTGGGAGGTTCACTTTGGGGTCAGGAGGTTCAGGAGTGTTGTGTGGAGGGGGTCATGAGACTACCTTGAGGGCAACAGGGGGACCACTTTGTAGTCAAAGGTTGAACAGCAGGGTCATTGGGCAATGGAGGTTAGTGGGAACCTGCTGAGGGCTGGAAGGGCCACTTTGTGGTCAAAGGGAAGTCCATATGATGATTAACTTAAAAAGTTGAAAGATGTGAGATTTCAGTTGCAGATTGGTCTCTGGGGTTAAAAGATGGCTTGGAAGACCAGGTGAGGTGATGCTCTCTTCCCTCTCCACAGACCACAAGTTGAAGTCAGGGACTAACACCAAGAGGGCCCTCCAGGCAGTGTACAGCATGATGAGTTGGCCAGAGGACATCCCTCCTGAAGGCTGGAACCGCACCCGCCATGTCATCATCCTCATGACCGATGGTCAGAAGGGACCTCTCTCCTGTCCCAGCCTCCCCACCTTCTCAGACCAGCATGTGGCCCTTAAGTCCACTTGTAACACTATACCCATGGTTGGGGCCCTGAATGCGACTCATAACTGGCTGTTCATCTCTCCTGTGACCCTTCATAAAGAATTATTCCTAAAGCCCTGTGATCAACTACCTCTAACCCTTCCTCAACTTACTCACCCTGCCACGTGTATCACTGCCTCTAGCCAATTTATCTTATCTCCTACCTTCATGGTCCCGTCTCTTCTGCAGGATTGCACAACATGGGCGGGGACCCAATTACTGTCATTGATGAGATCCGGGACTTGTTATACATCGGCAAGGATCGCAAAAACCCGAGGGAGGATTATCTGGGTGAGTAACCTGCCTAGGACCCAGCACCCTACTTCCTCAGGGCTTGGACTGTCATCCTTCCTTTTTCTCCCTCAGATGTCTATGTGTTTGGGGTTGGACCTTTGGTGGACCAAGTGAACATCAATGCTTTGGCTTCCAAGAAAGACAATGAGCAACATGTGTTTAAAGTCAAGGATATGGAAAACCTGGAAGACGTTTTCTTCCAAATGATTGGTAGGCAGATACAAGGGAATAAAGAACGCAACTCTCCTCAGCTTCCCCTGAAATAATTCATTCTTCCTCTACCCCTGAAGCTCTAGTTGCCTGGAAAGCCTTCTTCATTCCTCCTTCTCTACCTCAGTATCACTATTCTTGTTTCCTGGCACTGTTTGCTTCTTAACCTTAGAATCAGAGCTCTAGGCACTTCAGAGATCTTTCTATTGTCCTACATTTGACACATGTGGAAACAAAGGCCAAAGGAGGTCAAGGGGCAGCAAGCTAGCAACAGGGCTGGGCTTGAAAACAGCCAGGCCTCTGATAGCTTGATCCCAAGTTCTTTCCCTTTTCACTCCACCACAGCAGTTTTCTCCTAACACGAGGAAACAAATACCTGTGGCCTTTCCCTTTCTCCTTTTGGGCCTCTGCCCCCCACAGACTCCTACCCAAAGGCTGCTGCCGTTTGGGAATGAAGTGTTCCGAGTTTTCAGCACATTCTCCTTCTCTGCCAGATGAAAGCCAGTCTCTGAGTCTCTGTGGCATGGTTTGGGAACACAGGAAGGGTACCGATTACCACAAGCAACCATGGCAGGCCAAGATCTCAGTCACTGTAAGCACAGAATCCCAGTAGTGAGGACTTGGGGGAGGAGAGGTCAAGGTGAAATGGGAGTAGGGGAAGGGCAAAATGGCCGTAAGAGATGGTGGTTTGTGAAAGTTGAGTTTTCCCTTTCTACTGTTCTGTTCCCAGCGCCCTTCGAAGGGACATGAGAGCTGTATGGGAGCTGTGGTGTCTGAGTACTTTGTGCTGACAGCAGCACATTGTTTTACTGTGGACGACAAGGAACACTCGATCAAGGTCAGCGTGGGTAAGGATGCAACTGAAGGTCCTGGGCTGCACCTACGCCCTCCAGGCAACACCTCCCACTTTCTACAGATCCCACACTCCACTCATCTGCAATGCAGCCCCATCCCTTGCACCCCAGACCAGTCAGGGATGGGGAAGACTTGAAGTTAGGAATGACATGGGGCCAGAGGAAAGAAGCTGCCCACAAAGAGGTGGTACCTATTCTCCTACTTCAAGGGAAGAAGCGGGACCTGGAGATAGAAAAAGTCCTATTTCACCCCGACTACAACATTAGCGGGAAAAAAGAAGCAGGAATTCCTGAATTTTATGACTATGACGTTGCCCTGATCAAGCTCAAGAATAAGTTGAATTATGACCCGACTATCAGGTGAGAGCATCCAGATCCCTGAGGAAAGGCTGGGAAAGGCTGGAGGACTGGGGTGAGGAGCAGGCCTAGCTTGCTGTTCTTTCTCCATCCTTTATAGGCCCATTTGTCTCCCCTGCACTGAGGGAACAACTCGAGCTTTGAGGCTTCCTCCAACTACCACTTGCCAGCAACAGAGTAAGACACACTAGGGGGGAGGATGAGGATGAGATACCGAGACAAGTGAGGCATGAGAGGGAGATGCAATAGGAAGAGACGATGCCTGGCCCAGAACCTAGCACTAGGAAGGGCTTAGGGGACATCTGCTGAGTGACAAAGTCAATAGGGAGATGACAGTGGTGGGAGCAGCTGAAGTGATGCAGTCTATTTGTCCAGAGGAAGAGCTGCTCCCTGCACAGGATATCAAAGCTCTGTTTGTGTCTGAGGAGGAGAAGAAGCTGACTCGGAAGGAGGTCTACATCAAGAATGGGGATAAGGTGAGAAATGGGCATCCTAAGGAGGCACTCTAGGCCCTAATCCTTCCTAAGCCACCTCTGTTCATTACCTTTCTCCATGCTTCCCACCTCCCCTACAGAAAGGCAGCTGTGAGAGAGATGCTCAATATGCCCCAGGCTATGACAAAGTCAAGGACATCTCGGAGGTGGTCACCCCTCGGTTCCTTTGTACTGGAGGAGTGAGTCCCTATGCTGACCCCAATACTTGCAGAGGTGAGAGAACGCTCTCTGGTTGTGCTCCAAGTGCCCGAGGGCCAAGAGTCCTTTTCCCTACAGCTTCTCCTCTCCTTGCAGGTGATTCTGGCGGCCCCTTGATAGTTCACAAGAGAAGTCGTTTCATTCAAGTGAGTCCTCCCTTTCCTATCTGGGGAGATGCCAAGTGGTCAGCATGGGCCCCACAGCAGGAAAGCGCAATGCATGTGGCTAGTAATTCGAGGTGGGCAGAGCCTGCCTCACTTTAGGACTGCATGTCTGGCCTGTGTGTGTCAAGAATGAGGCTGAGCTGGGTCCCTAGCCTGATTCCTTTAGGTCAGCTAAGACACAATCAGGAACAGTCATGCTTCCAGGATTAGGAATTCTATGAATGATCCATGGCACCCCACTGCCTCTGCAGGTTGGTGTAATCAGCTGGGGAGTAGTGGATGTCTGCAAAAACCAGAAGCGGCAAAAGCAGGTACCTGCTCACGCCCGAGACTTTCACATCAACCTCTTCCAAGTGCTGCCCTGGCTGAAGGAGAAACTCCAAGATGAGGATTTGGGTTTTCTCTAAGGGGTTTCCTGCTGGACAGGGACGCGGGATTGAATTAAAACAGCTGCGACAACACTTGTGTTCCAGATCCTTTTGGGGCAAGGGAGTGGGGAACGGGCACTGGCCATGTTGTTACACTGAGATCAAACCTGACACCCATTTTTAAAGGCTTAACCCCAATCCCAAGTGCTGAAAAACCAGAGGCTGAGGGAGATGTGTAAGCTTCCACCTCAGTGTTTTACTGAGACCAGCATTGGGGCATATGAGGCACAAGGAATCCAGCTCTGTTCCCTAGAAGCCATCCACAAGGTTTTCCTTGTAGACGTCATCACTGTAGACAATCTGGGTCCTCTTGTCCCGGTGGCAACCCTTAGGGCTGTTCTGGACAGCTAGGGAGGGAGGAGAGGAACAGTTAAGGTCTAAAGGAGATCATAGATCAGACCCTGAGGCTGACTCCTGACCACCTCAGTCCTGGCTGCTGGCCCCTGGAAACCCAGTTTCCACGCTGCCCTCTGGTGGCCAGGATGGCCTGTCTTCCTTAGCTCCTTTGTGCCAACCCATGGCCAAGGAGAGTGTAAGTGGACATTTTGATGAATGTTTTGTTCTTAGAAAAATCCCAAATGTCATTGTTGAGATATATGAATGATATTAACCCACTACTTATAGTCAGTATGTCAGAAGCTAAAAACTAGAAAACCTCTGTAGCCCTTTATTGACATGCTGGTCAACTCTAGTTCCTTTCTTTTGCCTGAAAGGCCACTGTTGCTCTGAGTCCTTCTTTCTGCTCACTCCTTTCCCAGGAAAATCTACTTTCAGGTAAATGGGTTACTCATACTAAGGAATGCTACTAGCTCCACCAGAACTCATCCAGCATGTAGCTTTGGCCCTCACCATTCTCTCTCAAGCCTCTAGCTGTTTCTTCCCCTTCCTCTTTTCCTCCCTCCACCAGACATGTTACTCTCTTCACTCCATCCAAAGATTCCATCCCCACCACCCCTGACCTAGAGAGAATCTCTCCCACCCACTTCCCATCCTGTGATCTCTGTACCTTGACACTGCTGGCTACTCCCTCTTTCTCAAAGCATGTGTCCTTTCGCTTCAGTGGCCCAGGCCCCTCTGGTGCTGCTCCCAGCCCTCTGACCCCACCTCCTGTCTCCTTTGCTAACGTTAGGCTCAACGTTAGCCTAACGTGTCAGGAGAGCTGGAGACATGTGGGGCGTAAGGTGGACAGTCCTGTTTCCTAACATAGTCCCTGAGTATTCCTCAAGTCTAGTCCTGGGTCGTTTTTTTTCTCCGAAATCAGTCTCCCTCATGATCGGGGAGCCACCCTGTGATGCAGATGACTTAATCTATGTTTTCATTCCTTACCTCACACCTGAGTTCCAGACCCCTAATTTCAAATACTTACGAAATTCACTCTACTCCATCTCAAAATGAACAAGGCCCATGAGACACTCATCTTTCTCACCAATCTCACTCCAGCTCCCATTTTCTTCCCTGTTCCAGTCGCTGCTTTGGAAGCTGTTCTCAATCCTTTTCTCTCCTTTCTTTACTTCTAACTAACAGATGATCTGAAATTTTCCTTCCCATTCCCACAGCCTCTGCACACACTCTGACCTCGATAATCTCTAGGAAACCCAAGGATGTGTGGGGGAACCAAAAGGAGTGTGCTGTAGGGGAGAGGATGGGAAAGAAAATCCCATTCTTACCGAGGGAGCCCCAGACAGACTTGCCAGTAGCGGCATCCAGCATGGGCTGTTTCCGGGCTATGTTGACTTTGAGCTGTACAGACTCCACCTGGGTCCCGTTGAGCTAAAGCAGAAGAAGGGAGGCAGAGGATGGGGAGGAAAACATTACAGATAAACCAAAGAAGCTATTCCAGGAGTTGCTATCCTAGGAGTAGACTGAATAAGGAATCTGAGAATGTAAGTTTTTCTGTGTGAATAGGGAGAGACTTTATCAAGAGGAACCAACTTCTTCCTGGCATCTAGTATTTTGATGAGAACACATGAGAACAGCAGAAGCGATGGGAAGAACAGATTTGCGAAGTTCCAACCTCAGCAACGGCCTGATCTGCCGACTCCATCTTTTCATAGGTGACGAAGGCACAGCTGGGATAAGAAAAAACAGGGTCAGTGGAGAGCCAAGGGGCTCTTCTGGACCCAACCAAACCCAGCGATCACAGGCGGCTGCCAGGAGGGCAGCTTCCTCCCTCAAGTCTCACACCCCAGGATTCGCCCAGAACTTCTCATCATGCCCTGTCGTCATCCTTACTTTCTGGGTGGGTCCATGGAGAGGTCAATGATGTTTCCAAAAGGAGAGAAGGCCCCACGGAGAAGGGTAGGCGTCATGTCTTCTCCGTATACATAGAGAGTATTCCCTTTCCTAGGGGCTCGCCGTTCAGGGAAGGAGTCCGACCCTTTGGGAGCAGGAATCACAGTCACAAGACATGGTCCATCCCACACTTCACTTAGTAGGACCCACATAAACCTCAGTTAAGGTCACCTTGACCTCCAGCCAAGAGCACTCACTGCGGAAAGGACCCTCTCGGTCTCGGTCTCGATCCCGCTCCCGCTCACGATCCCTGTCCCGTTCCCGGTCTCGATCTCGATCTCGATCTCGATCTCGATCCCGATCCCGATCCCGATCCCTGTCCCGCTCTCGGTCTCTGTCTCGATCCCGCTCCCGATCTCGGTCTCTGTCCCGGTTCCTCTCATGGCTGCGGTCCCGGCTGCGGCTTCGGGGAGGGGAGGCTGAGGAGTGGGCACCACTGCGTTCTTCATAGCCCCAGTCAAAGCTTCGAGGGGGACCATCACCAGCCCCTGGGCCCTCTGCCTCTTCTCCATCTGGCCCTAGTTCTCGAAGTCGATCGCTAGAAGACACAAAGCTGGGGAGATGCAGACTGAAGATCAAAGGGGGGTTTTACCTTCTCCCCTCGGACCCTGTGGAGACTCAATATTCCCTCAATAGCACAGCTTCTACAGCCCAAACCTCCCAAGGACTCAGGCAATCAACCCCGCCAAGTGGGCCCAGTCTTATCTCTACTCTCTAACCTCTCATACAGAGATTTCCTCTGGGGACGTCTAGATGACTGTAAAAGAGACCAAGAACAGTTAAGATGATTCCCAGTTGCTAACATGTAGTCCAAAATAAGTTAGTTTCTCATGTTCCTCCATCCCCAACCCCTCAGGGACAGAAATTAGAAGCCTTTACCTCTTGCAGGTCATCATCAGCAGATATGCTCCTCTGGAACGGCTGGAAAGTGGGGACTGGTCCCTTCTCGGGGTCCTGGAGAGGGGACAGACCTACCTCAGTGTGGAGCAGGAGGCTGCCCAACCATGGAACAGAGATGTTCCTCTTCCCTCACCCTCTTCTAGATTTCCTCTGATCTCTTCTTTCCTTTTAACACTATATACATTTCTTATTTGACTATGTGGTTTTATTTATTTGTTTTTATTTTTTGAGACAGGGTCTTGCTCTGTTGTCCAGGTTGGAGTGCAATGGTGCAATCATAGCTTGCTGCAGCCTTGACCTCCCAGGCTCAAGCAATCCTCCCACCTTAGCCTCCCTAGTAGCTGAGACTAGAGATGTGCTCTACCATGCTTGGCTAATTTCTGTATTTTTTTTTTTTTTTGTAGAGATAGGGTTTCACTATGTTGCCAGGGCTGGTCTCAAATTCCTGGGCTCAAGCAATCCTCCTACCTTGGCCTCCTAAAGTGCTCTAATTATAGGAATGAGCCACTGCCACACCTGCCATTGCAGCTTTTTGGTTTTGTTTTGAGATAGAGTCTTGCTCTGTCACCCAGGGTGGAGTACAGTGGTGCGATCTCCACTCACTGCAACCTGTGCCTCCTGGGTTCAAGCAATTCTCTGGCCTCAGACTCCTCAATAACTGGGACTATAGGCGTGCATCACCATGCCCTGCAAATTTTTGTTATGTTTAGTAGAGACGGGTTTCACCATGTTGGCCAGGTTGGTCTCAAACTCCTAACCTCAAGTGATCTGCCCACCTTGGCCTCCCAAAGTGCTGGGATTATAGGCATGAGCCACCACGCCCGGCTGATACTTTTTATAAGTGATTTGATATGTTATATATTCAGTTTATTTCAACCTCTCTTGAATCTGATAACATTTTCTGCCCTTTCCATCCCTTAGAGCGACATATTCCAAGAGCTCCAATCCAAGGTGGATTAGAACTACAAAATTTGTAAAATGGAGAATTCAGGAGTCATCTAGTTTTTTCATTTTATATTTGAGAGGCAAAACTCAGAATGGTACAGCAATTTGCCAGTGCTTGAGTATGCATATTTTTCCCCAAACCCATCTACATTCCAACTTGGAGGGATGCCCTCTAAACAATCCTTCTGTTTGTGCTCACCTTTAACTTCCCCTCAAGGGTTCGAGAACGCTTGAAGCCTGAGTTCTTGGTCTCAGCCTTGATGGCACTGATGGCTCCTGATTTCACCAGCTGCTTTGCCTGCTCTGTTGCTGTGGCTGTGTCCACGACAGGCTGCTCTGATAGTGCTGGAGTGATAAGGGGAAGAGGCATTATGTTGACCAGGCCATGATGAAGGTCAGCTCCATGCTGCCCACTTCCAGTCCATCCCCATTTCCCCTGTCACTCACAGCGTTTGACACCGCCTTGGCTGGTTGTGCTGCTGCTACTTTGCTTCTTCAGAGCCAGCAATGCCTTTTTCTGGGAACAAGGGTGAGAGGAGAGAGGTCAGTGAGGGCCAGCCCCTAGCCGGTTCCTCTCCCAAGACCCCTGGGCACATCACTCCAGGGACCATCTTTCTTGATGTCCTCAGAGTGGTGCATTGATGTGCTCTGCCTCTTGCCTCTGGTCCCCTAGATCATGAATGATGCTGGAAATTCCTAATCTAACCAAACCACGGAACCCAGAGGTTTTCCAGAGTGTTACATTTTTGAGGTTGAAGACAAAGAATTTGATCATGGACTAGAATCCTAGGATATAAGCTGCAAGTAAGTATAAGTCTATGTGCCTTTCCTGGAGGCTTCATCCATCTATTTCCTGCATATTGAATAAGGCCCAGACATGACTTTGTAACAGGGATATTCAGGAGGATAAAGCATTGTTCCTACCCTCAAGAAGCTTATAGCCTGAGAAATAAAAATAAACTGAGTGAGTTAGCAATACGGTAAGAGGTGCAGATTATTCACAGCTGAAAGCTAGTAAGATTTTCTGATGTTTAATGGCTATTAAACTAGGCCCTCCCCCGTATCTCTGCACGACACAGAGAGAAGAAGGGTATTTTAGAAAAAGAAGACAGGATGGCAAACATGCAGAGGTAAGAACGCTTTGGGAATGCATGTTTTGGGAGTAGTGAATAGTTCTACTTTACTAGACAAGGCTGCCAAACTAAGGTTTTGGGGCTTTGTTATATAGACAATGTGAAGCCATTTATGGTTTTTGAGAAACAGAGGGAGCAGAATTTTGTGTTTTCAATGGATGGTTTGACCAAGAGTGAAGAAGTCTGTTAAAAAAAAAAAAAAAGACTGAGAAATTTGTTGACAGACCATTACAATCGCTCATGTGAATGTCAATAAAGCCCTGCTCGGGGGAATACACAATGAAGAATAAACAGGAAAAATTGCTTCAAAAGAAAAAACAAGAAGACTTGGCAAACGCTTGACTATGCAAATAGCGGAGAAGTCAGAGATGAGATTTTGAGTCCAAACGCGTGGCAGAATTGGTGTAGTCAATCTTACTTGGAAGATCAAGAATAGAAAGATGATACCTCCAACTTTGGGTATCTGAAGTTTATCAGTATAACACTGGATAGAACTGGAAAAACAAACTTGAGGATCATCAGCCCTTAGGTGGTACTAAAAGCCATTGGAAAGGAAGACAATCCCATGGCTGATTGCATAGAAAAGACAGAAGGTTCACACCAGGGCTTGGGAAAGCCCACCTCTCGAAGCTACACTGTGAGGTGGGTGATATATCTCTAGATACGGGCCAGAAAAACTTTCCCATTCGCTCACACTCACCCCAGATCTTCTCAGAGTGCAGAGTCTGTGAAAGGTTAGGCCATGTCCACACACAGTCCCTCACCTTTTTCTTGAGTTTGTTGAATTTCTTCTGCAGAGCCTCCTCTTCCTCGCTCAGTCCGGGGGGTATCACCAACATGGTGGCTCCTGGTTCAGGGGCAGGGCCCAAGACATCTTTCTCCCCTGTTACCACCCGGGGTTCACACGCCGTCCACACTGTACCCAACTCCACCCCTTCAGGTCTGCCTACTCTTGCCTTTGGCTTTCCCTACTCCTTGCTTAAACCAGGATGCTGTCCAAGCTCCCGCTGGTCGGGATCATCCAGCATTCCCTCCTGTCTCCAGGGATCACAGACACCAGCACCTCGAGGAACCATGTGGCTCAGGGAGGGACAAACACCCACTCCGTCGGCAAGACGATGGCACCCGACCCCCCTACCCTCGCTGGGGTAAGGACAGCCGCGGGGTTCGAACGGCAGAGAAGGCGGTGGAGCCAGCGTAGCGCCCTCAGAGCAACTCAAAGAGGAAGAAGAGAGAAAGGGCTATGAAAAAAGGGGCCGAAGAGTGAGAAGCAGAGGGCCTTACCTGAGGGGGCGGCAACCGCGGGTCCCACGGTCTCCGGCCGCGCCCGCGCTGGCCGCTGATAGCGGGCTCACAACGATGACGTAGCTAAGGGCGGAAAACGCGGTAACCAAGGCGGCCCCAGGCACGCACTTCCGCCCGGCCTTCCACCGGTCCAGGTCTGCCCCTCCGCAGCGATAGTTCACGCTCTCGGCGGGGCCGTGCCGGAAGTTGTCTCTACTTCCGCCCGTTCCGGGGCGGGGCTTACCTCGCAGGGACTGCTTGCAGCATTTCCGGGCTGCTCGGCAGCTGCTGTGGCTCCAGAATGATGGAGACAGAGCGACTGGGTGAGGGGGAGGGGAGTGAAAGGGCACGGAGTAGCAGACATGGAATGACCTTTGACCCCTGACTTTTGACTTTTCCCCGTAGTGCTACCTCCTCCAGATCCCCTGGACCTACCCCTTCGGGCCGTGGAGCTCGGATGCACGGGTCGCTGGGAGCTGCTGAACTTGCCTGGAACTCCGGAGAGCAGCGTGAGTGACTTTTGACCCTAACCTTTGACCCTCATTGAGTCCAAACCTCCTTCACCCTCCTCACGGTAGGATCTAGCTTAACCTTGTTCATCTGTGCTTGTACTGCTGTCCATCCCAGCCTGAACGGGTGTTGGACAGCTTCTAGCCCAGTGTACCTGCAGTCCATGTGAAGACAGCAGAGAGTCCTGGGGATATTTTTGCTTTCAGAGCTGCGCTTTCTCCATGGAGCTCCCTTCTGTCTCCAAGCACCAGGGCACTTGGTGACTGAGATGCTAGGCTTTGAGCCTCCAACTCGTCATCCTTAGGTCTGGTACCCCTTTTTCTAAAATCAGTGAGTCTCAAATTTCATGTGCTTCATGACTAGCAAGGGAGCTTTTTAAAAATGCAGATTCCTAGGTCCAGCCTCCATGTTTCTGAAATCCAAAATCTGCCCCAGGTAATTCAGTAGCGGGTAGTTTTTGGCCAAGCCTGATTGTCCTAGTCTGTTTGACACATCTACCATTTCTGATCTGAACACAAATCCCATCACCTCTTTTGTCTGCATTTTACTCTCTTTCCTTACCTAATGCCTCTCATCTTGCCCTTGTTTCAGCTTCCCCATGGCCTCCCTCCCTGTGCCCCAGATCTGCAGCAAGAAGCAGAACAGTTGTTTCTGTCATCCCCAGCCTGGCTGCCTCTGCATGGTGTGGAGCACTCAGCCCGGTGAGGAGTCTGGAGGGGCTTAGACTAGGGTGATGGGTTCCTGAAGGAAGCTGGGGCAGAGGAAGAAAAAAGACCCAAAAGTTACTTTTTTTTCTCTCCAGAAAATGGCAAAGGAAGATGGATCCCTGGTCTCTTTTGGCTGTCCTGGGAGCCCCAGTTCCATCTGACCTACAGGCCCAAAGACACCCAACCACAGGCCAGATACTGGGTTACAAAGAGGTAGGAGGTCAGGGGTCATAAGAAACAGAGTTGGGGAGAAGGGGAGGTGATCAGAGACAAGCTCAGCCTCATTGGGGCTCTGATCTCTTGCTTTAGGTCTTGCTGGAGAACACAAATCTCTCGGCCACAACCTCCTTGTCTCTTCGCCGGCCTCCAGGGCCAGCCTCCCAGTCCTTATGGGGAAATCCAACTCAGTATCCCTTCTGGCCAGGTGACTCTTGTGGAGATGGGATGGTAGAAGAGGGTGTCCTTAATCTCCAGGGAAGGGTTCCCCACCTATCTCGTATTATCCTCATCCCATGAATCCCTGTCTGTCCTGTCTCTTCCCAGGGGGGATGGATGAACCCACCATAACAGATCTGAACACATGGGAGGAGGCTGAGGAGGAGATAGACTTTGAGAAAGGTAAGGTAGGGCTCTGAGTCTGAGCCCTGAGGAGGAAGAGCCCACGCTATCACTGGGCTACTACTAGCCCTCCCATGCCTCTGAGAAAATTAGAAAAAGATATCCTGTCCATAACAACCTTTACTGTCATCTGTTGGGAAAGTGTCATAGCAAACATCCCCATCTACAGCATCTGTCCTGTAAATGATATCTTTTAGGTTTATATAATGTACACAATTTGTTCACCAGGGTGCAGTGACCCTGATTCCATGTCCCTGTCCTACAGATCTTCTTACTATTCCACCTGGTTTCAAGAAAGGCATGGACTTTGCACCAAGAGGTTCGTTTTGGTTTTTGAGTGGGGTGTAGGAGAAATCATGTCTTTCTCCTAAGGAACAGAGATGTCAGCATGACGAGGTTGACCTTGTTGCGTTGCTTCTCAGATCGTCCAACTCCAGCTCCTGGACTGCTAAGCCTTAGCTATCTGTTGGAGCCTCTGGATTTGGGTGGGGGTGACGAGGATGAGAATGAGGCAGTGGGACAGCCAGGAGGTTCCAGAAGGGACGCTGTTTCAGCCTCTCCCTGCAGTACTCCCCTGGCCCGAGCAAGCAGTTTGGAGGACCTAGTGTTGAAGGTTGGTGGTTCTGCATAGTGGAGGCAAGAAAGAGCCTTGCCACCAGGATGTGGGCTGGCTAGGATGGGTCTGAGGGGAAGAAAGGGACATCTTTTGGGAGGAGTGGTAATCGAGAGCCCTCTGGTTGTATCTTTATCACCCCTACCCCTGACTCTTCCAGGAAGCGTCCACAGCTGTATCCGCCCCAGAAGCCCCAGAGCCTCCACCTCAGGAGCAGTGGGCCATACCTGTGGATGCCACCTCCCCCGTTGGTGATTTCTATCGCCTCATTCCCCAGCCAGCCTTCCAGGTACTTTGGCCCCACCTTCACATGCTCCTCTACCTCTTGCTGGGTCACACTCCCAGCCGACCCCTTGTCTCCTCTATCTGCCAGAGGTCATATCCATCCCAGGCCAGTCTTGGTCCTTAGTCCTAGCCTCGGCTGGCTCTGGCCTTCATCCTCCTGCCCTGTGTGCTCCATGAGCAGGAGGCAGGAAGGCTCTGCTCCTTTGTTCAGCTCCTGTCTATTTCTCTCTCCCATAGTGGGCATTTGAGCCAGATGTGTTTCAGAAACAGGCCATCCTGCACTTGGAGCGGCATGACTCTGTCTTTGTTGCAGCTCACACATCTGCAGGAAAAACAGTTGTGGCTGAATATGCCATTGCCCTGGCCCAGAAACACATGACACGGTACAAATTGCTTCGCCAACCTCCCCCTTCACCAGCCAGCCCCATTTTCTCCTGCAGCCTTTGAAAATCCCATCTCTTCCTCCACCTCTCTAGCTCATCCTTTAAGTGAGAGGTTCAGGGGTGAGACTGAGACAAGAGCTCAGAGAGAAACGAAAAGGCATGGTGGGGAGAAAGGTTAGAAGAATGACCTGGGTTAGTTTAGGAAGGGGTTGGGAACAGAATTTTTCTGAGGTTATATCATGAAAGAGAATGTAGGGCAGTTTGGGTGAAGAAGTGGAGCAACTAAGCTTCTGGGGCATGCTTCTGCGAGAGCTCCATGTGGGAGAGGAGGCGTGGGCCATGAGTCTGCAGAGGGACTGGCTAACTTCATGTTCTTTCCCCAGCACCATCTACACTTCGCCCATCAAGGCCCTGAGCAACCAGAAGTTCCGGGACTTCCGAAACACGTTTGGGGATGTGGGGTTGCTCACTGGGGATGTGCAGCTGCACCCGGAGGCCTCCTGCCTCATCATGACCACAGAGATCCTTCGGTGAGAGATGGACACTCAATACAGGGGAGTTTTGGCTGGGAAGATGTGGCTGTTGTGGAGAGTGTGCTGTCTGAAGAGGGGATGGAGACGAGCCACTGGGGAGTCAATCCTTGGCCTCTTCTCCCCAGCTCCATGCTGTACAGTGGCTCAGATGTTATTCGGGACCTGGAGTGGGTCATCTTTGATGAGGTTCACTATATCAATGATGCGGAGGTAAGGGCCTTGGGCTCCGCAGATGCCGGCAGTCCCTTCCTTTGGGACCAGTTGAACGGCTCCCTTATTCTACACACTCAGGGCACCTTCCTGCTTTCTTTACCCCCATACGGAATCCCGTGCCTCTTTAGGGGCAGAAGGGCAGCCCCTGCCCTCCTGTGACCTCTCTTCCCTCTCTGTGCCCAGCGTGGGGTCGTGTGGGAGGAGGTGCTCATCATGCTCCCTGACCACGTTTCTATCATCCTTCTGAGTGCCACCGTCCCCAACGCCCTTGAGTTTGCTGACTGGATTGGGTGAGACGTGTGTCCTGGGTTGCCTGGTTGATGGGGGCTACAGTACTCCTTGATTGGAGTGGGGGGACTAAGTCTACCACAGCAAGGAGAGTGGTCAGGCCTTAGGGGTGATGCTGGGGAACATGTCCCACCTGGTGGCTGTGGGATCCCCTTTGGGTCCAGATTACTTTGCATGTTGAAATGGAATGGGATGTTGGGGATAGCCTTCCATTTTGGGTCTCAGGAAAGACTGGGTAAAGTTGGAGGGGTAGGGAAGGGGGTGGGGATGTGGGTTCCTTCCCACACTCCCATCCCTGACTTGCTACCCTCTCCTTCCTTCAGGCGACTGAAGCGTCGTCAGATCTATGTGATTAGCACTGTAACCCGCCCCGTGCCCCTGGAGCACTATCTTTTCACAGGGAACAGCTCCAAGACCCAGGGGGAGCTCTTTTTGTTGCTGGACTCTCGAGGAGCCTTCCATACAAAAGGGTGAGCCCCGAGATGGGGGAAAGAGTTAGGGCTGGGCCCCTAGCTGGACATGACAGCTACCCCTCCCTGTGCCCCAGGTACTATGCAGCTGTGGAGGCCAAGAAGGAGAGAATGAGCAAACATGCCCAGACCTTTGGGGCCAAGCAGCCCACACATCAGGGGGGCCCTGCACAGGTGAGAACTGGGAGGGTTTTGTACCTGCCAGCACCCATTTTTCCTCCCATCTTTTTTTTTCGTTGTTCCCCAGGGGTTTTGACTTGAACTTTGAGCACTGCCCCAGTTAACACTAGCTCACCTCTCATTGGTTCAGGAACTCAACCTCTGCCCCTTCCCCTTCCTTCTCCAGGACCGCGGAGTGTACCTGTCCCTCCTGGCCTCCCTCCGCACACGGGCCCAGTTGCCTGTGGTGGTGTTCACCTTCTCCCGGGGCCGCTGTGATGAGCAGGCCTCAGGCCTCACCTCCCTTGACCTCACCACCAGTTCAGAGAAGAGTGAGATCCACCTCTTCCTGCAGCGCTGCCTTGCTCGCCTCCGTGGCTCTGACCGCCAGCTGCCCCAGGTGCATCTATGTGTGTATGTGTGTATGCATGTACACATTTAGCAGAGTGGTAAGGATAGGGTGTTCTGAGACTCCATCCCTGACCATGGGCCTCCTCCCACCAAAGGTCCTGCACATGTCAGAGCTCCTGAATCGTGGCCTGGGTGTGCACCATAGCGGCATCCTGCCCATCCTCAAGGAGATCGTGGAGATGCTCTTCAGCCGTGGCCTGGTCAAGGTGCATGTGGTGGTGGGAAAGGGACTCCTCGGTGCTTGTTACCTGCTTAGGGGCTGCCCAGAGGGCAGAGGGGCAGAGGTTTAGGCAGGCCAGTGCTGTGGTTAAGAACCTGGGCTCTGA